TCCGGTTCAGAGACCAAGGGCCGAGCGATCAGGGAGACAGAAAGACAGACCGTTTCGGAATGTGCTTGTTATAAGCCTGGGACCAGATGTCGAAGCCAGCCCTGACCAGAGCGACCTTTAAGGTCGCCAAGAGGCTGGGCAAAGCGTGTTGGGTTTATTCTCAGCGGGTGTGAAGCCTGCCGACCCCGTCAGCCTTAACGGAGCTTACTGACACCAACTGAGGCTCTGGCGTTGTGTGATGACGGCTGCACAAGGTGCCGCTTCTCCAGTGCGGGTCTGATCCTGCGTCACACCCCGCTCCTTCTGCTGACTTCAGTGGGAGTTCGGGGGGACTCCGGTGGGCTGGATCAGACCCCAAGGCCACTAAGGAATGGGGGGGGGCTCACATGGTTTGCAGGACAGGTCTCTTTCCCACCCTGTATTACACTAATTCATTTGTTTTGGAGGCCTGTCCAAGCCCACGATGGATCAAGACGGCCCAGCAAGATCCATCCAGTCCATTGGCCCCGTTGTGCTCGGTGGCTTTTGTTTTCCTGCGTGGCACTGTTTGAGCCCATCGCATGCCCCTCCTCCATCGGAGCCGGGTGGGGGAGCCAAGGGCAGCTCAGAGTAGAGTCAGCGTAGAGTTGTCCAGTCAATGCTGTGTTGGCAAAATGTTGCCTTTTCTTTCGGTGCAAAAATCCAACACTAAAATAAAACCACCCCAATCCCCGTATCTGTCGATCTCCTTGTCTTGGAGGCGTTACCACTGGCCAAGGCTTGTACCCACTACAGCGCCCGTCCTCTGCCCCACCACCTCCCTGCCGCGTCACCCACCTCGATCCACTCTGCCGGGTGCCGAGCTGTGTTCTGCAGGGGCCGTCCCGGCTTTGTCGCTGTTAAGGTTTGGTTGCTGGGGGTGGATCTGGCAAGGTCTTGTACTGTTAATTGGAAATGTTGCAATATTTCTGTTTTCCAAAATCAATACACCAGAGATCCTACCCAGCCTGTGTCCTCTCGTTATTTCATTTGTCATGCGGGGGAGCCTCTAACATCACCCCACGAAGTGGGGAGGAGGGGGATAGTGGGCTAACACTGGTTGCCATAGTTCAGTGCAACTGCATTGGTATTCTCCCACCCTGTGGTCCAGCCAGGTCACCCACTCTGGGCTCCAGGCTCCTCAGCTGTCGCCTCTCTTGGGTGGAGACCAATGTTCCCTCTAATTTTTTACATCCATGTGCAAAATGAATGTTCTGTGCACCAATAGGGAGATAATGTGTATTGGGGGTGGGGCTAAGGAGGGTTCGAAGTAGGGGAGGGGGCTCAGGGCTGGGCAGAGGGTTGGGGTGTTGGGGGGTGAGGACTCTGGCTGGGGGTATGGGCTCTAGGGTGGGGCTGGGGATGAGGAGTTTGGGGTGTGGGAGGGGGCTCAGGGCTAGGGCAGAGGGTTGGAGTGTGGGTGGGGGGAGGAGTTTGAGGGCTCCGGGGCTGGGGCCGGGGGAGAGGCACCTCTCCCCACCTGTGCAGCCATTGATAGCGTGCCGCGCGGCTTAGAGGGAAGGTGGAGACCCATGTGTGTCTCCCTCCTGACCAGGGTATTTCCAAGCTACACAGCTCCCTGATTCCACTGAGTTTCTCAGCAAGTCAGACTCTAGTAATCTATCCCCTCGAGCGACAGCAGCTAGGTCAACAGAAGAATTCTTCACTGACATAGCAGTGTCTACACCGAGTTTAGGTTGGCTTTTAAC